CAAGCAGTCGTATACCCGTACGCAACCTCTCTGCTGCGAAAACGATCGTTTATCGAACCGATTCGTATACCCAGGCTCGATCGTCGGCTCGGTGGCGTTACGAGCTTACGTAAATTACATGTAAATTCGCCGCTCGAATACATCATCGCGCACCATTTAAATATGCATGGTAATCACGCGCGCACATACACCTGGTTGACCTTTGACCTACCGCTAGATATAAGCGGCACAACCCGCGACACCCACGCAAATACATTAATAATCCACGATTCTATTTGAAGTTTTGGAACGACCAACGGATAACGGCCAGCCCGGTAAAATCGGTCACTTCCCGTTCCTCCACAACTATCTCAGCCGTGAAAAAACGGTGCAGCGGCGCCGCGACGCGACGCGACGCATCCAAGTATTCGCGTCGGTATACGCTGGCGCGAGAGTTTCCGTCCAACACTCGTAACAGGCGTCGGTGGAGAGGATATGGTTGGCGTTTGGCACAGAAAGGGAAAAGGAGTAACGCGCCGATCGAGCACAGGGTATCCTCTAGCGTCGCTCACGCCACTGTACTCTATCTTAGGTTAATGCGATGCAACGGACATTGTATCGTGCGACGACATCGATATCCGGCTGTGCTATCTAGCCATGCAATCTGGTCATACCGCTCGACCAGTAACCCGTGCCCAAGTCTCCATTCCGAATACGCGTACATACGTCGTTCGTCAGAGACGATCCGTAAACGATACCGATATAGAACTTTCATTTCCGTCCTCCGCCGAGATCTCGATTGCGACGTTCAATCCGATTTCGAGATTCATATAACGACAGATATTTCCTCGATGCGTGGTTATACACGGCTATTTTAAACTCGCGCCGATACTTTGCTTCCATGAAAAGTGTCTTTGAACGTTCGTCTCTGTTTCAGTTCCTCGTCGTTGCTAGTCCCGAAGGGACAGGTAGGTGGTGTGTAAGGGCGGCAAGGGGAAGGGTTGGGCAGAATAATTAACTTCGAGATCGAGAGATTACGTTTCTCGGTTAAACTCGGTCCCCTTAGATCTAATTAACCCTTTGCGCGACGAAGAATAACGCGCAACTGAGGCAGCAAAACATCCTCGAAAATTAACCAGCCTGACCAGTAACGTTTACGTTCGATTCGCCTTTACTACGCGTTTAATACGACCCACGTTTCCTGCCCGTGAAACTCGTGTTTGGTTCGATACCCAACCACGCGTCTCGCACGATGTCGTAGGCGAAGGGGTTAAAAGTCTATGCTCGGTTAGCGACTATGCTCAGCGTTCTTTGAAGCGCGATAAATCCTAATCTTTTTAAAACGCTCTTAAACTATCGCGATGTTATTTCAAGAGCGTAATGCAATAACGGATACGGTAAATTTCTGTACAGTCATCGTTTTTCGTAAACACGAATAATATCGGGAAACGGTCTCCCTATATCGCTCTAGAGTATATATATAGTCTTCTCTATAGTCTCCTCGCTTTTTTTTTTCCTTTTTTCCCTCTCTCTCTCTCTCTCTCTCTCTCGATTCGTTATTTCTTCGTTGAATAATACCGAGCAAATAACATTGCCTGGATGTCTCGATGGGACTGGAATTTAATCGAATCCGCGATAAAAATCGCATATAATATATACGCGTATGATCGAATTTCGTTGCAACACCGGATTATACGCATTAACGCGGTTTTAGCTTTCGCGGTAAAAAGTTAATTCCGAGGTATATACCAACGGAACGTCTGCAGTCGGAATGAAAAAGCGAAACGCGCGAGTATCAGCTGTTTTCTTGACCGACGAAAATTTTCCACCACTCGATTACACGCGTACCGGGCATATACGCACCGAGTTTCGAACTTTGTCGAAACTTTGACTTTCCACTCCGCTAATTGGCTTTCGCGATGAATACGCGCCCTAGTGTCCGCCGTCTCCCTCCGTTCAACCTGCCTATAAAAGGCGCAAAGTTTTCCTTCCCTCTTATTTCGCTCGATCGACTTTATGGCATTCCGCTGTCTGGCACCCGCCCTGTGCCACTCGGCCAACTATACGAAGCGACCATAAACGCGCGAAGCTTTTCGTTAGCCCCGAACAACCGGATCGCCGCGTACCTACCGTACAAACTCGACGTTGGTTCGCCGAACCTTTTCATCGCGAAGAAATCGTTACGGAACGACGATCGTGTGCACGGTTATGCTCCTATGTACGAGCACAAGATCTCTACGTTTCCACGGGCTTTTAGAAATACACGGAGAAACGGAGACGCTGCTCGTCCTTCACGTTATTCTCCATGTCACGACGCGCGTCTTCTGCGACACCTAGACCGGTGTTAAATCGAACGGGTTATTCCGATTCAGCGAATCTTTCATACGATACGTTACGGTATGCTACGATACGATATATGTACGAGAGACTGTATCGGTTCGTGCAACTCGAGAGGAAGAAATCGGGAAGAACTGAACGCGATGATTATCGCTGGAAACTGCCCCTGCCAGCACAACGTTAGCATTTTCGTTTCGTATCTACCGAGCCGTTCCTCCGTTACGTTTCGGCGTAGCTATATCGTTAATCGGGTTTCGATTTCGAGCAAACTCGCGAACCGAGTGTCGTGGATAAGGGATCGGACGAAAATGGAAACTCGGAAAACGACGTAAAGATGAACCAACTCCTGTTACTTCCCGTTATCATCTCGATCGAACGCTTAAGAGACAAACGAGCAACGACGACTATCCCGATTGTGGAATTGTTGCGGTACGCTGGCACGTAACGACGGTTTCATCGAATTTCCCGTTTCGTCCGACTCTGCGCGGATTTACGCCACTGCGATCAACCCCGATGGATCCCTTTGGCCAACTCGCGAAACCGAGATACATCCGTACGATTAAAACAAAGCACCGAAAACCCCTTTCGCGTTCTTGAAATCCCGATCCCGGATTCGCGATATTCCAGCATCCCGTACTCCGCACGATACGGGGTTCTCCGTGTTGTCGAATTTCTCAAAAGTCCCTGCTTCGCCCGAATCTAATATCGCGCATTTAACGTGGACACGGAATAGTTGGTTCGATTAATTTATTGGTTCTCGGCGAAACAGCGACTCGTCTGAATAACGCGGTTTCCCGGATACGTTCGTTGCAGGGCAGCAAACTTATAATGAAATTTTGGCTCCGATAGCTAGCACAATGGATTGGCCTGCTTCGTAAACTCATGGTCGACCGACGCGATACGAGAGGATTTCCTTGCGATTCGAATCAACGCGATATCAAACGCGTCTCGTTGTTTCGCGACGCGTCATTCCACGAGCGAAAGACGTTCGTTTCGAGAAAAATCGAGCAATTGCCGACTCTACGCGGCTATATCGGGAGACAAAATCTTCTTTCGCTTATTCGCGAAATTTCGTCACAGCCTTCGTCACATCCGTTAACCGATGCCCGGTTAATGGATGGCTGACGGGTTCGAATCGATCGATCGCGCGCTTCTTCCGCGAGTCGGAATAATCCTGCCGCCGAGGAAGGGAGCGGTGTCGCGCAAATTGTACTTTGTTTCTGCTTACGCGAAACGTACTTTCCGTCGGATAACAGAGAACGAAAGAAAGGAGAGAAAGAAAGGCGACGCGATACCGATGAAGATAACCGTTATGCAGGTTCGCGAGTTTTCGGATCGATGAAACTTCTCTGTACGTTTCCGCGTGCGTCGAGTACGAGAACGCAAAGATCACGAGACGCTTTTGTTACTCCTTTGTTCCTCGACCACGAGAAAGCCGCTCTCCATTGTTCGTTCGTCGTTTCCCGACGGTGATCCCGTTTTTCGGTGATGCTGGCTTTGCGACGCAGTCGACATGGCCCGAAGCCAACGCGCGCGCGTAAGCAGGCAAGGCGTTGCATTCCACGCCGCGACGCTCCGCTGAAAACCGATCATCGCGTCGGGGTCCATCCGAGCTTCCAATTCCGTTTTCATGGCCGAAAGCATCGCGTCGGCAACGACGACGATGGGTCCAGACCAGAGGGCGGTAACCAAGTTTAAAACCGATAACGAGTGATCCGATAACCGGACCCGTGGATACACGGCCGAGACGTATGTACGTTTAATTAATCGCAACGACTCGGGTTTAAACGCCTTGAGAACACGAGTTCACTGGGGCAAACGTTAATATATGCCTATCCAGGAGGAATCGGCAATTCCCTACGTAGACCGACGGCTCCGGTATGCCGTTTGCGGTATCCAAATGCAATATACCAGAGCGCATCTGTCGCGTGCACGTGCTGTATCTCTCGCGTCCGTGTACCTATCGGCCGACTAGCTCGGTAAATGCGGTTGGAAGAGATCGAAACTGTTGTCGTTGGAAACGTAATTGCGCGCGACCTACCGATCGCGCGTCGATTATTGCCCGGTGCGTTCAAGTTCGCATACCTACGTACCTTATACGTCACTCGTCCTTTCCCTCGCCAAATTAGCTACCACCTACTTCCACCTTCTCTAGTTTCCCTTCTAACGTCTGCAGACTACATATCACGTTTGTCTCCGTTCGCCCTCGCCCTCGCCCTCACCCTCGCCGCTGCCGTCGCCGTCGCCCTCGTATCCCTTGTGCGAGTAGCTTGTCTTCGAGTATCCTCGACGGAGAAACGGGAAGCTTCACTTTGACACACGGGATTTGTTACCGAGCTGCTCCTGACGTTTCCCGGGCATCGTCGTAAAATATACGCGGGCACGTTCATACTATGCAAATGCAGTTGCTATGCCCCATCGTGGAAATCAAAATAGAGAGCAACGAGAGAGCGAAAGAGAATAGGGTCGGGGTGTGTATGGACGAAGGAAAGAATGGGACCAGCGGCGGTAACTGGAACCTGCGCGCGTACACCTACGATACGCGTATACGTTTGGACGATGGAACAACAACCTGCCGAGCTGCAACATCCGTTGGTCCGTAGGCGCGAATCGCGCGATTAAACCCGTTCGTTCGATCAACGAAAAACCAAATCCGTTCGATCCTCGTGAAAATTTTGTTTCAGTGCAATGCCGCCGTTGGCGTGAAGGCGTTCTTCGATATGATGCACAGTGGACCGCACAAAGTGATGCTATTCGGAGCAGCTTGCACGCACGTCACAGATCCCATCGCTAAAGCGTCGAAGCATTGGCGTCTCACGCAGGTGAGTGAGAAATCCACTTACTGCCAAACAAACGATCGTGCAACGATTTTCGGAAGCTTGACGGGAGAGAAAAGCGGCGCTTCGCTACAACCTCCTCGGCTTAACCCTCCATACCGAATCGGTCTGTTTTTGTTGCAGCTTAGCTACGCAGACACGCATCCGATGTTTACGAGCAATAGTTTTCCGAATTTCTTTAGGGTGGTGCCTTCCGAGAACGCGTTCAACGCTCCACGCGTGGCGCTTTTAATGCACTTCAATTGGACCCGGGTCGGTACTATTTATCAAAACGAGCCGAGATACGCGCTGGTGAGTATTCGAAATTCTACGCAAAACATAATGGAACGGTACACGCGGTTCATCTTTCATCATCGATCCCGTGTAGCTTCGCCAAATTTCTCCAACGAACCGTTCATCCAGCTATCCGCGCTACTTTCCGCGCAGTGCTCGTTGCCGTTGCATCGTACCCAAGCTGATGCATCCCGCTATCCATTCTCTATCATTACGATTCGCTTATGTTTACCATTAAAACTCCGATGACCGAAAGAACGCGACGACTAGTCTTGCGAACCGCTTCATGCCTAACCGACCATTATTCATCCGTCGTCATCCTTCATCCACTCCACAACGCGTATCGTTGTAATTTCTCCAATTTATCCGATACGCGCTATCGGTATCGTATACCGTATGTTATATACATATATATATATATGAATTAACTCGACGGGTATTCGTTCCAGCGAGGAAACTCTTTAATTCACGTATTTGCAGGCCCACAATCGATTGGTCGCCGATCTAGACGACTACAGGATGGAAGTGGTAGAAACGCAAAGCTTTGCCACCGAAGTCACCACGGCACTCGAGAAACTAAAGGAGAAAGATGTTAGGATAATTTTAGGGAATTTTAACGAAGCATGGGCTAAGCGAATATTCTGCGAAGCGTATAGGTATTTCGTCGTCGAGTATCACGATCGAGATTCGCGCGCGATTCATCGAAGAAATTCGCCTTCGCAGATTCGGTATGTTCGGGAGAAAATATCAATGGGTGATCATGGGAACGTACGCGGAGCAATGGTGGCTCCATTCCGGAGGCGGTTGCGATCCCGCTGAACTCGCGGAAGCTCTGCACGGTGCCATATTGACGGACTTGCTGCCGATCACGACCGAGAAACGAAACACGATAGCCGGGATCGTGAGTTCCTTTGAAATTTCATCGGATGCTGGATGCTCGTCTAATTTTTTGGATTGGTCGCGTCTACGGTCAATGCGGTTCCATCGTTTTTTCCCCCCCTCCCATTTCCTTTTTTTCGTCTTTCAGACAACCGAGGAATACCGAGTGGAGTACGACTCGAGACGAGGCAGCGAGTATTCGAGATTCCACGGATACACGTACGACGGTATATGGGCAGTCGCTCTGGCTATACAACGCGTGGCAAGCAGGATAACGCACTACCGTCGCAATCAGACCATGTCAGATTTCAGATACAGGGATGCGCTTTGGGAAAAGCTTTTTCTCGAAGCTCTGAGAAACACCAGCTTCGAAGGTGTGACGGTCAGTATCGAGAGGCGGATCGCCTGTATGTCCCATGCCCTATGCCTCATGTAATCGGTTATACGTATACGTATATGCGGGTAATTTTTCAGGGGCCCGTACGTTTCTACGACAACGAGAGAAAAGCGTACATTCTGTTGAAGCAGTTTCAAAGTGAGTATGAGACGCGACGATGTCGCTAATCTCCGAGATTCGTGTGCGTTTTCTCTTCTATCACAGGCGACAGAGAGGTTAAGGTCGGCGAATACAACGGCGTGACCGGCGTTTTGAATCTGACAAAGGGTGAACCTTTGGTCTGGAGGGGAAGATCACCGCCGAAAGATCGAACGCTTCATATCATCGAGCATTCGACCGTAAATATCACCATCTACGCCGTGCTCACTTCCGCGGCTAGCATGGGTATCACCATGGCGGTCATTTTTCTCGCCATCAATATCAAATACAGAAATCAAAGGTGATTATTCGAAACGGGCTAATTCCTTCGTCTCTCTTTTTTCTCGCGAGTTCATCGCGGGGTCGTTCTACTCGTTCCCGACACGAACCGGACCACGGCGACGCTTGACGAAACGAATCCAAACGAGACGGGACCGGACGAGACGAGACGAGAGCGCGAAATTAATAGATGCATGGGTAAAAGGACGATCGTGTTCCTACGGAACGAAACGAATCGCGTCGATCGTACCAAGCACCAGCTCTTCTTTTTACCCGTGCAGTCGCGATCTTCTGTTTCCCTTCTCATGTCCGACGTTCGATCATCTTCGACGTTTCAGATACATAAAAATGTCATCGCCGCATTTAAACAACCTCATTATCGTCGGATGCATGCTGACCTACAGCAGTGTAATTTTCCTTGGGTTAGATTCGCAGCTGTCCAGCGTAACGGCATTTCCCTA